AAAAAAGGCTAGATTACCAGCAATTTCCAGCCTTCTCACCAATTCAATCTCTTGTAGGTAAAATATGTTTCTCCTCTCATTACAATTATAACAGGTCAATAAGAGGCCTTTTCCAGAAAGATGTTGTTTCAAGACCAAATGTTATTGCGTACTGGAGTCAGTTTGTGAGTGATGTTGACTGGAAAAAAGTCTGGCTTCTACCTAATCGCTTTCTCTTAACAAACAAGGTTAAAGAAGTATCTTTTAAACTCCTTCATAGGATATACCCTGCTAAACACTTCTTATCCAGATTTAAAAAAGATATTGATGAAAGTTGTAGTTTTTGCAAAAAGAAGCCAGAGACAGCTGTTCATTTATTTTGGCACTGCCCTTATGTGTCTGTTTTTTGGCAAAATGTTCTTTATTTCATTGTTGGAAATGTTGATGAAAATTTTACATTACTGTGGAAAGATATTCTACTAGGTATTGTAAACTCAAAAGATAAAAACCCCTGCACTTATTTTATAAATTTTTTTATTTTGATGGCTAAATTTCACATTCATAAATGCAAATTTTCAGGGAAAAAGCCATGTTTTGTTGCATTTAAAAATGAAGTGAATCTTTATATTGAGTCGATATTGCCCTCAAAGAAACAAAAAGCTGTTAGAATTTTACAAGCATGTACACTCTTTAAAGTATTCCTATAATACTATCTGTACCTCCCCCTAGCATTTGAAATGTATTGTTTTTCTATTGTTTGTTTTGATATGTCTTCAATAAAAAAAAAAAAAAAAAAAAAAAAAAAAAAAAAGAACTCGAATATCGAACAGCTCCTCCCCTTTTTTTATATAGCCAACAGCGTTTCGTTTATATCCTCCTGGGACCCAAGAATAGACTTTTGTCCACTGTAGTGGACATTATATTTTAGTGAATTTCTTTGACATCATACATGTCACATGACACAACCTGGGTGTCCTGTAAAGAGCACATTCAGGACTTTTCAGAGATACCAAATGTTTGGAGGTTTCACCATGAAAACAACTTCTCCTTGGTCTTTAAAAATGTCTGACATTAATTTAGTGATCAAATGTAGCATTCTTATGGAAATATGATAATATAGTGTAATTATAATATAAATTGGACCACTTTTCAAATTGTATTTCATAAAACAACATCTCAGGAAAATGTTAAGGGGTTTAAAAAAACAACAACTTTCTGTTACAGAACAGGGCATTGATTTCAAACGTGTCCACTGTAGAGGACATCAGGACTAAAATCATGTTTATCAGGCATTCTGGGAGACACTACAAGTGAATATGGAAATAAATTATATATCAATATTCCTATGAAATGTTAGATATTATTATTAAAATGTTGCCAATTATTACTCCAATTATTACCCTTTATTCTTTCATTAAATGTTGCTCCCAGAACACATTAATGTGCAAATTAGATACAGTGTATGGGAATATTAACTTATGGCCATTTTACCCACATATTGCAAAAAGTAAAATGGTGTATCAATTCATTCCATTATTTCTTTCATAACATAGTTGAGAATAATCTTTATACAAATTTTGGTTGAAAAAATCCTGAAACCCCAAAATGTATTGGTGATTGAAAAAAAAATCCCATTGTTTTTGCCTGTACACATAATTTCATGTCATTTTATTTTTTAAACAACTTAGTCCTGGCGTCCACTACAGAGGACATAACATAACGTATGAATAAAATATTTTATATATATGTTTTTTTACCATTTGTTTATTGTGCTCTAAACAGTGTAATGACATGGGAAAAAAACTAAATTCAAAAAACTTTTTTTTTGTGGGTCTCAGGAGGATATCACGGCTCGACCATTGAGCTCGGTAAAACCGCTGTTTCCTCCTAATCTCTAACCGTTTCACCTCCATGTCGCTTTAAAATATAGCATTCTGTGCAGAATTCAAATGAGTCCGATACGTTTTCTGGTTGGAAAACCAGAAAACGTATCGGAACCATCGACTTTGTGCGCGCTGCGACGGTTCGCGTGACACTAACGTGAAACCAGACTTCATTCGCCCCAATGGAAAGCATTACTGAATAGTCTGATCGTTCCCCATTCCCTATATAGTGCACTAGTTCACCATATAAAGAATAGTAAGTGTGTGAAAAAATGACCGATTTTGGGGCGGGACGCTTTAGATTTTAGAAAGCATCTGATTGGACAGAAAATCTGCTCACAGTAGCATTGAACTGCATCTGGATGTTCGTTAAAAAGTAGGACTATATCGCTGCAAATGTATTTCCTGCCTGTAGCGAAGAACGAAACAGCCTTGACACGTTCAATCAGTCTCTTGTACGTCACGTCCATAGACAGTAAAAGAAATGGACAGAGCGATCTCATTGGAGCTCAGTTGAGACAGTTGAAGCCCACTTTTAGCGATTTTTGAGCACTTCCGTTCCTGACGCGCAGACTCAGACCGACTCAAACTAAGCTTGATGACGTGAGCAACCTGTCTGACAGACGTTAATCTTCTAGTAGCTGTGCGTGAAAACTGCCAACGTTAATCTTGCAGAGACGGGGAACTTGAGCAAAGAGTTATTTGGCGTGAGTGAGCAGGAGTAAGAATTCCGTTGCTTTTATGGACTCATTATCTATGGGCTTCTCCCTTGACGGGACGTCCCCCCGATTGCCTGCGAGCTTCTCCTCCTGTCTGTACGGTAATTTCTGTACAGCGCGACAGAGAGTCGAGTGGTTATGACGCAATCGTTAGCCTATTTTTACTAAATCTGTTTCTACGGGGCCATAGTGTAACATAGAAGGTAATGGAGCCCTTTATACATTGTCGTGTTTCTTTAGAAATAAATAATGGACAAATGGAGTCTTTAAACGCCTCAGATGTAAAGTTATTCGCTGTCAAAGTGACGCAAAAATGAATGGGAGTCAATGGAAATGCTAACGCAAGTGAAGTTCTGCTACAACATGGCGGCACCCGTCCGGCTTCAACTTCCGGTCGATGGATTACCCCCTTGGTCACGTCTGCACGAGCGCGAGCAAAAAGTTTCTTGCTGCAGTTCACTTAACGGCCACAAGGTGTCGCTAATAACAAGGGTTCCTGAATTCTACACGTACTGCACCTTTAATAAGAGCACCAAAAAAATCACAATTGTTGTTTAATCAACCTCTTGTCATTCCAAACCAATGTTGTTACCATTAACTATAATTATTACAAATATATATTTTTGTAATTAAATGAATCTGAAATAAAAGATGAAAACAAAAAATAGAAATGTTGGAAAAGAATGACTTGTAATATAATCATATGGAACACACTTTTGACGCTTTCGTTCTTCTTCTGATTTCTATGGGTTGAATAAATGACGTCAGAAATTATTTTTGCATCTTTAAGTGAGAGATTGCAACACTGTCCTGAGAAATGTTCTGCCTAATTGAACATCAACACCAGCAAATACATTCACAATTACACTGTAAAGTGGGGAAAAAGATGAAAGCCCACCCAGCGTAAGAACAACGAGATCGGGTCAATATCCCCATGATTTTGTTGCATTCTGCATCATTCTGTGTGTTTTATGTTGCATTATTTCACTATAAGGGATATTGATGTTTCATAGTCAATGTCCATAATTTGTTTGGGAGTATGCTGTATTGATTCATAATGTTCATTTTGTGGTTGTACACATCAGACCACCCACAGCTTTCATGTGTGGTCGGCCCCAGCGACTGACACAATAACACCAGACAATTAAAGACAGTTTAAATGAGGTCACATAATTTAATTTCATTGCATTTCACTGAATGCATCAAGCTACAGTAGAAGCATGGACAGCTGTGACGAGGCAAATGACCCCGAACGCACAGACACGTGGTCCGAGAGATGAACAAACCCCATCGGGTTTGAATCGTCAAGTCTTTAGTCTTCATTTTAACAGACTTCCTCTCGTCTAGCACCGCTGAAAGCAAATGATGTGCGACAGGCACAAATGACAAAGACAGGCTGAGCGTTTGCCCTGTTTTCACCAGTATTTACAGGTTTCCTTGTCTACTTGGTTTTGGTCACATCGAGATGCACTGCAAAAAAAAAAAGCATGTTCTCCATCAGTATTTCTGTCTTTTCCCAATAAAAATACATTAAAACCCTTACAATTTAGACATTATTCAAAGTATATATATATATTTATATTTTTTTTTGCACAGTTGGTCACAAGTTGTATTTTTTACCTCCCTAAATTGTTAGATTTATGCTTAAAAAAGTATTATTTTTAATACTGATGAAGAAAATGTTTATTTGCAGTGGTAAATTTATGCAAAAAAGCAACAGGAAAGACTGAATGATATTCAAAATGTTTGCCACATCTCATATTCGTACCATACTGAAAACAACAGCAACTCGTATGCTTACAGTAAGTGCAAGGAAAAGCCTTGATATAAAATGTATACGTAACACATTGAGAATTCTGTTTAAATATCAGTACGTACATTAAACATTACTTTAATTTGCATTTATACAGACATTTCTTTTTCACCGTGGAATTGTTAACACCGTTTCGCCTTTATATACACAAGAGGATACACGACAGCTCAAGGACACGTTTGGTTGGATCACAAGAAGAAATACGAGTGACATTCCTGGTTCTGTCGTCCTTCAGGAGTTTCCCGTCATCTAAGACTCATTGTTCATTCTCATAATTCATTCGTTTTCTCACATTCAACGCTAACAGCCAAGAGTTCATCTTACCGTTCGCTTTCAGAGCAAAGGTTTTCTGTCATTATTAAGAGTCAGAATCCACTTCTTTCTGTTTGACACTCATTTTCACTTTAGGTTTCATCATGACATCTTTCACCTTAGCCAAGCTGCATCATCCCATCATCTTTCTTTGTGAATTCAATCCAACAGCATTCTCACAACTGGTCCGCAATCAGCTCTGAAAATTTGGCTCAATTGGCTTCGCTCAGCCGCGTCGAAACCTTTGAATCGAACGGACTGAGGAGATGCCGTGAAGGTTGATTTAGTCACGTTCTGTCTGAGAACAGCCCACACAGTGTAATGTTAATAATAGACTGTCCTCAACATGAAAAGACTCACTGGATCCAGATGGTGTTGGCTCTGTCGGGCCGTCGCGGGTCTGCGGTCAGGTCTCCGAAGGTGGAGAAGAACTGCTCCATCTCTTTCTGCAACATCTCGTTTCTCTTTTCTGCATCGTCCTTGGCTCGCTCGGCGTTCCTCAGCTTGATCTCCACCATGGTGTATTTCTTCTTCTCTTGGTCCAGCTCTTCATGTAGATTCGCCATCACTGTCTCCAACTCTACATTGCGATGCTCCAGACTACAGAGAAGATGGGAAAGGGTGGGTGAATACACTATTAGTACTGTGATAGTTTAATAAAACACTTCAAAGGATTATTTAGGTCAAAGTTAATTCTATCATGAAGCACAGTTGAAAAACACCACGAATTTAGACATTAATCTCTGCCAGAAATGCAAATATGCTGCATCTAGACGCATCACATCAGGCTTGACATCAGATCAGTTATATTTACATCCCAGAGAACTTAAGTTATGCAAAAGACCCACCTGAATTGTTATTACAATAAAATAATAATACATTTTATTTTATATATATATAAAAAATAAAAATTATTATTATGTTATTGTAATAACAAACAAAAAAAACATGTTTATACACATTTCCTTTATTTTATCAAGTGTGAAAATACATTTGAAAAGTGACTTTACTTATATATATATATATATCGGTATATATGTATATATATATTGCTGTTTCCATAATATAGAATAAGAGTATTTTTTTCTGGTTTTAAGCAAAAACCTCCTTAAATTGCTTTAAAAAAGAATAATTTTATTATGGATGGATTTAAAAAAAGAAATTTGTAGTGATAATGCAAAAAAAGCAACAGGGCAAATATTTAAAATATTTGACATCTCATATACTGCATATATGTGTGTGTGTGTTTTGTTCTTTGGTGATTATTGGTGTTTTCACATTTTTGTGGGGTTTTCTTCTATAGTTCACATAAAAAATGTAGTAGATGGAAACTGATTTGTTGCAGCATCTCTCATCACTGACACTGATCCACAAAAGAAAGAGAGGCATGCCGGTTGGAAAATGAAATCAGATTTTCATTTGTTTTCTATACATTTTCAATTTCATTAAAACTGTGAAAAACATCTCTTATTTGTGTACTCTCCTACCAAAGACCAGGACAAAGGCAAACAGCAGCCTGGTACCATTAGTTTTAAGTCATGACATGGCTCTCTAGTTTTAAACGTGGCTCTCACCTCTTGATCCTGGCTTCGTATTCATTCTTCTGCTTGAGCATTTCCTGTTTGAGGCTGGCCACCAGGCTGTGTAGTGCACTGTGGTTGGTCGGTCCATTTGTGATGGCAAACGTTTCACTGTTATCGCTGCTGCTGGTTCCTCTGCTTCCCCGGCCTCCTCCCACACTGCTCCGCTGCTCCTTTTCGTCCGCCACCAGTCTGTTATCCTCCTGTCCTGGCCCGTCCAACAAAGGGTCCTCGAAGTTGTTGCCGAAGAAGTCCTGCTCTGGGCACGTGGTCGTAGAGGAGCGGCAGGAGGTCGAGTTTTCCGGTAGGGAGATCTCGCAAGACGAGGTGGACCATGTGGCGCTATCCACGCTCTGTTTGTCCTCACAGCTGCTGCTCAGACTGGGCTGTGTCGTCTGCTGCTGATGGATGTGGACGTTGTCGTATGTGGACAGGCGGTTCTGCTGGTGCTCGGCGTCTCGACTTTTAACCTCACGCATTGCAACGTGACCGTTGGGCACCCAGAGTCCATTCCGCCCATTCAGAGTCCCGATCGTCACGTCAGTGCTGGATATGCCCATTCGAACGACACCATTCTGGACCCCCATTTTAGTGCCCGAGCCCTTTATCGCACCCGTCCGACGGGCATGCAGGGTGCCCATATTAGGTAGAGTCTGACTCTTTTCCTGATTGGCGTCGCACGAGGACGATGACGACGAGCTGAACGATCCGTTAGTGACAATCCCGCTGCCTTTGCTGAAAGCCGGGTTCTTTTTTACCGCCAGTGGCGGGCTGCGGGTCACCTCGAATCGCTGTCCGGTAAAACCGTTACGCGGGCTGCCCGAGCGGGGAGAGCCATTGTCCAGAGGAGCCCGGGTGGGTGAATCGGGTGCGTCCCAGGTGCATTGTCGCACCCCACTGGTGTTATTGTTCTCTTTGTTTTGTAGCTGACCATTTGTAGGCCGTTTCTGTGTCTCATTGTTGTTATTATTAACCAGTTCCAGGGTGCAAGTATGGTCCTCTTCGGGTGGGAAAAGAACATCATGCCGGCCGATCAGAACGGCCATCAACTGCTGGACCAGTACTGTGCCTGAACACATGACAAACAGATTGCTCAAACACTAAAATAATCACCATTTAGAGCTGTCTGGAGTGAGAGATAAGGACAAAAAGACCTACCTTCCATTATAGTCACCGGGTCCTCAACCTTTGGCCTCAGAATATTTGGCCCAAAGACCGTAGCCAGATTTTGTACGCTCATTTTATTCACACCCGAGTAAGACTGAACTTCATCCAAAAACCTAAATCCAAAGAAAGAAGGGTCTTAACTTTACAACTGAGATTTCTTGCAACTGAATGTACAAATCTGAATGTGTAACAAAAGACATAAATAAAAATAAATAAATATGTAAATATATGAAAATGTAAGAGTAACTGAAAGTGAAGTGGTGAGCATTATGACCCGAATTTTATATCATGACATATATATATATATAGTAGGGGTGGAACGGTACACAGAACTCACGGTTCGGTTCATACCTCGGTTCGGACATCACGGTTCGGTACGATTTCGGTACAATGGAGGGAAAAGCAAAACAAAAATGCAGAAGGCATTGTATTTTTTAAATAAGTTTTATTAATAAAGGCATAGAACCAGTTTATTTGTAGTGCACTGACAATAGTTTTATATAATTAGTTTATTAATTAAATTAATAAAAAGACAAAAAGACCTTGCGATATGTTTGGTAATTGTACTATTAATTTAAAATTATTTTGCTATATTTCAGATCAGTATATTTGTTTTCCTTAATTTTAATTAACATTATTAATTGACAATGTAACATTATTCTCATCTGAATTATTGATTTCTGTATAAAATAATACTACCATTAAAAACACATTCGATTTTCTTTTTTAATCAATGTTGAATGTGTAAGATTAGTGCTCAAGAAAAGTGAGGACAAGAAATGAAAACCAATGCAATATGACGAATGTCCAAAAGACAGACTGTTTTGAAATGGAGTTGGATAAATATGTTTTGCTTTTAAAACAGTGTGTATGTGATTTTGGTTGGGTGACAGTTGTAGGTTACAGTTTGACAAGAGTTTACAGTGTGACAAAAGCACAATGTTGTGTTTTATTGCGAGTGTACACAAATATAAGTAAACACTTTGCAGGTTTAATGATCTGTATAAACAAAATGTCTCTCTCTCTCTCTCTCTCTCTCTCTCTCTCTCTCTCTCTCTCACACACACACAGTTCGATCGCGCCCGCGCGCCTCTCTCTCCCTCTCGCACACACACACTCTCCAGCATTGCAATCTTGACATCGCAGCCTGTCCATTATGCGGTCACACCAAACGCGAATAGAGCGTCAAATTCGCGTCTAGTTCGACGCTAGTCCAAAGCGAATAGGACGCGCGTATAAAGCCAACGTTTGAAGTGAACGCGCATTCAGAGCTAAGCCGACGGTACAGATTATGTGTCCCTAAAGAACCCGTGTATCTAACGGTAGTTCCGCATTACATTAATTAATTTGCACGTGAGTTTTATTTATTTTTATACCGTGTATTCTCCGTGTAAATTCGTGCACCGAACCGTGACGCCCGTACCGTTTCGGTTCGATACGAATACATGAACCGTTCCACCCCTAATATATAGTATATATATATATATATATTTACACTATTTAAAAATAGCCATTATCACATGGTTAACTTAATATAAAATAGCCATGTAGTAATATTTACTTATTTGTTGGTTGGTTTATTGGATGGAACTTGATCGTGGCAAACACACAAAAAAAGGTTATATTTTATACGGAACCCAGCACATGACGTGGAAAAAATATATGCATTGTGTCCACAAGTTAATAATCCATTCTCTCATTTTACTAAATCGTGGCCACACTGTAATAATTTGTTCCTTTGTTTCAGGTCAGTCAAAACTGTACTGTACAGAATGCCCAGGATTAACTAAAAAGAGGGAACAAATTAACAAGTTGCAGGAATTAATTCTTAATTTGTGGCAATGATTTACTAAAACAAGGACCAAATTCTTAATATGTGGTCAGAAACATATATATATATCTATATATTTGTATGCATGTCAAAGGGATCCTTAAAATAATATAATATAATATATAACAAGCAATAGTGCTGTTGCTCCTTTATTTTTTGCCGTTGAGTGAGTTCATTCACTGACTCACTCAAAGACTGTTACTGCTAAGTGAATGTTTCTATAATTCACTTATAAAGAGAGTTGCCATATGTAGGCGTAACAATGTAACCGGCAGAATCATGTAACCTGAAAAATTCACAACATTAATGCATAATGTGATGAGCCACAAAGGAATACAATAAAACAAAATCACTTACTTGCATATGTATTTAAGCAGATTGTAGTTCACCAGAGGTAGACCTTCTACTTGCCCTTTTAATTCCTTCATTCCCTGTATAAAGACAAAAAAAATTGTATAAAAAAAGGAAATGTATGCATTTGTTTGAACCGACTGTAATTCAATTTGAAATGATCAGGACAAATATACATCATTTAAAGACTTACGCAATAAAAAGACATTTGAACCTGTCCCATTCCTTTTAAAACTCTTCCTAATTGACTTTAAATATTCATATTGCAATTTATTTTGTTATAACTATGCTATCCGTCTAGGCATGGGTCAATGAGTTTAACAATTGATGACTGTCTAGATTTAATGATGCGCTCCATCCCAGATCTGTTTTTATCATGGTTGATATGTCTTTTCCCCGCAGGCTCTCTCTGAGGAAAATGACTTTGTTGCACTTTGTTGAGAAAGCTATTTCTCAAAAACAAATGGATCCAGTACAGCCCCTCAGCTTCATTTGACATCGTACCACGATTCTTTGTGTGCACCGTACTCGAGGGATTCTCACAGGTACGAATCTCGTTCAAAACCTTGGGCCAGTAAATTAAATTCAATCTTGCAAAACCCCATCGTGCACTTTGATTCTATCCTGAAAAGCCTCTGGCTGGAGCCACTGGTGATTTACGCAAGGTAAAAGTTGAACTTTAAAGTCAGAATGAGGCTGTTTCCGTTCCTCAGGGTCGAACCCTTTCTTCTTCAGGCTCAGCGAAAATAAGGAATGGATGTATGTAAGATGAAAGACGACTGCAGGAGAATAATGTGATGAGTCATATGCCATTCTCTCAGCCTGCTGGTGGGAACCAAACTCAAACAGAAATGAGAAATAGCAAGAAGAATGGCACCAAAGAGGTCAACAACACCTTGAGTGTACAGTAGACGCATTACGATTAAAGATAACATCCTTCACTTTTATTCAGTCTGTTAAACCAAGTGTTGTAAAACGCTAAATGACAAGCAACTGCAAGATCAGCGCTAAACTCCCTTAGTTTAAGCCTAATTTGCCTCATTTTAATTTACCTAAGTTGATCGAATAGTATAACAAGTAAGCAAGACAAACTAAACAATCCCTGTTTAAACAGTAAGGAGTGAAATATACATGTGAACAAAAACACGTGTCCAAAATGTGGCTAAATTAAATTCATAACACAACGCATACGCACATTGTATTCTTAATGTTTCCAACAATTTGATGTACACTTGCTGAGAAAGTTCAAGTTAAACTGTCAGTAGATTTTTTTTTGCAAGAAATTAAATCTTTTATTTAGCAACGATGCATTAAACTGATCAAAAGTGACAATATTTTTAGGCCTAAATTATGTTCTTTTGAACGTTCTTGTTTTCTTCATCTAAGAATCCTGAAAAACAGTTTCCGCAAAAATATTAAGCAGCACAACTCTATTCATGATAATAATTAAAAAAAATTCTTGAGCAGCAAATCAGCATATTAGAATGATTTCTGAAGGATCATGTGACACTGAAGACTGGAGTAATGATGCTGACAATTCAGCTTTGCCATCACAGGAATTAATTACATAAATTATTTAAAAATGTAATAATATTTCACAAAATATCCGTTTTCACTATTTTCGATCAAATAAATGCAACCTTAGTCATCAAGAGACTTCTTTCAACAATATAAAAAAGCATAGCATATATAGTATCTGTAAACCTGCATCATTAATGACACTCATTAATCACACTTTTGAGTACTGAGGTATGTTACCGCCACTAAATAAGTACAACGGAGTCGCAGGCTTGCAATGTGATGGTCAACCATTCATGCCTTCATTTTTTTTTTACTAAATGTGTTATGAGGTGACTCACTTCATCCTGGTCTTTGCTGAGGAGTTTGGTGCAGGCCAGAAACTCTTCATATTTACAGAACGGGATGACCGGCTCAGGCAGCTCTCTCAAGTACAGCTTCAACAAGGATGCCACGGTGTGAACGTCTGTGTTACTGCAGAGAAAGATGGAAAGTGTAGACATATTAATGTTAAAGTGACCAATGAAAAGCTAGAAGCATCCAGTGTTTTAAACATTAAAGAAGAGATAAAGCATGTAAAACAGTGTAGGACACTTTAAGGGTGTGTTCACACTTCGATTAAAATAAACTTTGGTGCAGTTGCTCTAATAGTGTGGTTCATCCAGACCCATGAAAATGTGCTTACAAATGAACTTGTTTTGTTTTGTATTTTTAGGTTTGGTGTTAAAAATGACAGTGTGAACGCCACGCGAACCAGGACTAAATGTATCATTCTCTTTTTTTGGTCCGGACCGAAAGAACCAAGAGAACTGAACTACAAGTGTGAATACACCCTATAGAGAGATTGTGGGCCATGAGGACATCCCTGTGTGGGTATCCCAGTATATCTAATGATAAGTAACAGGAAGCTGGTACTAAATCAAAGCAAGTACTAGCCCGTCACTGATCAGCCATGTAGAGGACCTGGGCTTGTGGTGACGCCAAACATGCTGGATTTATTGTCACTTCCTGGGTGGGCTGTACAGGAATAGCCGGCACATGTATAATGTAACCGCCAAATGTATTTTCTGAGCAATGACCCTTTATAATTATCACCTTTGCTTCAGACACCAACAAGATCTAAATATGAACGGTGTTAAATATGCAGAGTGCTTTTCCTGGTGTCTCTTCCTTTGTGGAGCTCTGACAGCCATCGCTAAAATCACAGACTGTAAATCAACTGGAAAACAGCTGCTGGTGTTATCTGCAGCGTTTGGTATCATGGAAGTACAGAGAAAGCTCTTCCCGAAAGAGAAAGTGTCCAAGTCTACATTTTAATGTAATGTAATGATGAGACATTCCATTAAAATGGACAAAATACTGCACTTTCAGTCTAATAATGGATAAACATCTATACTAAATGGAAAATAGGTCATTTGGGGAATGTCATAAAAGACGTTGTTAAAAAGGAAGATTTTGTCTTGCTAATTCATGAATGCAAATGTGTGGATAAATATTCCAGATTTAGGTTCTGCTTAATTGTAATGGCAGACATCTGAGGAGAAAGCAAATCAATTTGATCAAGCATAAAGCAAAAAGATGGCACACTAATGGGCGCCAGAGCTGTCAACTACGTCTTTTCACTTTGATTTGTCACTGGAGCCAGAGTAAACTAAAATCTTTCGTAATGCATTTAATTAGGACTCAGTTTAGGCATTATTTAAATGCTATGGTATTTGAAAAGAGCAAGATGTTGCAGGTCACCATGTATGCATTTAGCAGATGTGCTTATCCAAAGCATATCTGAATGTTTAACTGCATTCAAGTTGAACACCACTGTACAAAGGTTTGGGGTTGGTAAGATTTAAAAAAAAAAAAATGAAATTTTGAAAGCTGAATTATTACCCATACTCCAGACTTCAGTGTCATACACTCTTAAAAATAAAGGTTCTTTTCTTTATTTGCATCTGGGGTTCCATGAAGAACCTTTGATATCCATGGAACCTTTCAATTCCACAAAAGGTTCTTTATAGTGGAAAATGTTTCATTAGATTATCAAAATGTTCTTCACACTAAGGAAAAAAATGGTTCTTTTATGAATAGTTCACTTGAAGGTTCTTTGGGGAACCAATTTTTCTTCTTCTATGGAATTGCTGCAAAAACCAAGGTTTTGGGAACCTTTATTTTGCACAAAAAGTTCTTCACAGTGGAAAAAGATTCAAAATGCTCTTCATTCCAAGTAAAATAAGTCCAAGTCTTTTAAGAACTGATCACTGAAAGGTTCTTTGAGGGACCAAAAATGGTTCCTTATGGCATCGCTGTGAAAACCACCTTTTGAAATAATTCATACAGAGACTATGAGTGTATTTAGAGCAAGTACCAGTCGAAAGACGGCTTCTCCCCACAGTCGAAAGCATCCTGAAGCTCTTTGACGAGGTTGGCTTGTCCAGGCAAACGGAAGAGCCCTTCCTCTCGTAGACCCCAGCAGCGGATGAAGTCCACGCACTGCTCCACCAGCATGGGAGCCATTTTGTTGCCATAACGTCGTTCGTATCGAACTGTCTCTTCCAACTTCTGACCAAAGATTCCTGAAACACAAGCCAACATAAAGGAAAATTCCGAAACACAAGCTAACATATAGGAAAATCCTGCTGATTTTACACAATAACCTTGACACACCCCTGCTGAATTTTTTTTCTTTGATAATACATATCATATATATATATATATATATATATATATATAAACAGCTTTATATAGATTCAATAATCAAATGATTCTCATAAATCAATATTTAGACATCGAAATGAGCATTATTAAAAAACGTTGCAAAGTTTCAGTTAAAATAAATGTATGCTCTGCATTTTTTTAAATTTAATATTTAATTATTTTGAATCTTTATTTATTTTCCCTTAATAATGCTTTAAATTTACAGGCCTAAATTAAATGTGAATCATTTCAGTTAGTGTGCTGTTGTAATATTATTATGGAAAATAAGTCTTGAGCTATTTGACAGATCTTTTAGAGCTCTAAAAATGAGTTTTAACTCAAGTGGAAATATAGATTGATCCCTGTACTCCTGTATCAGAGACAAAAACGCCCCGTAACAGTGAGGAGAGAGCTGCTAAAGAAGCCTGATTTAAGCTATTCTTTCATGTCATGCCCTCTGAGAAGAAAATCGCACACTTCCTCTCCTGTCCTGTTCTTTTGTCTGCATCAGTCAGGCTGAAAACAAGCGTGAATCACATGTGGCATGCATATGAGCGGGGATTAGGCCAGACTTCCTGGAAGCTTTGGATCGGTGGCGCTTTCCGGGTCTCCGGACTCAGACGAGGGTACAAGATGGTACAAATTCAACTAAACCTAGAAGACAGGAAGGGATTTACTGCCCTTTCCTGACTGAGCTGATGGAGGAAACAATGTTTCACATTTTCTTTGCTTTTTCACATTCAAAAGAATGTCTGACTCACCATGTTTGAAGCTGACGCAACTTTTAATTTTACGGAAGACACTTCTGTGCATGAAACTATAGTAAAATAAAGGATGCAAGAAAGTGCATCCGAACTGTCTTCCTCCGAGCATCTTCAACAACAAGTCCGATGTGGCCTGCAGTCACACTATATCCGTACAAAAACACAATGGCACAAGAATATCATCCAAAACGTCAAGTCCCGGCTAGTACTTTTAGAGTCTCCTTCAACCAAAATCTTGGGGAAAAAGCTGTGGGAACATTGTAACTCTGAGAATATCCAACTGGAACTCAAAATGCTGACAGAAAAAGGACTTGCTTTGTATAGTTCCTTTTACTACATAGATCCTTTCTGGATGAATAAACACAGAAATGTCCTACAATGCATCTCTGGACAAGCAGTGTCTGTTATTGTGGTGACCACACAGGTGTGAGATAGCGATCTGCCTAAAACACAGTAGGAACAAAAGTAAATAAACTGAATGTAGACATTGACTTGGCTTCAAGTCTTAATGATTTATGCAGGAGCTCTTGCACGAGTTTCTAGTTTCCCATGAAAAGAGTTTGATGAATCAGACTTGTGCTTCCAGCCAAAGGTAATCTCCTGATGGATTTTCTCTCCCTGCGGTGAGTTCTCCTGGCTTTCACCTCGGTTTCTCATGACTGGATCTTCTCTGTTTGTGAATCCTCGGCTCAGGGCTTTAATATCACATTTGGGTTAAGTTGTCTTTCACTTCACAATAGCAATAGGCAATTATCAGCACTGTACAAACACACACACTCAACTTCATGCCATCTTCAAGCTGTCCAGGGCTTTTCTGCTGACCTCATGTATCCACACACACAGGGCTCTTTGTGCTGCTCTGCGACTCTTATCCTACAGAAAATCAAATATGAGCAGCTGCCAGACCGGCTCTCTCTGCAAACTATCTTCTCCTCTCATTACGCTCTTGCACCTTTTAGGTCTTCCTGTCTCATCTCATTTCTTTGAGGATGTCCCTTCTTTTTTTTGATGGTCTTTTCTCATCTCTTTTTATCCCTCGTTACGGTTTCACACCCTTTGAGCTCTTCTCTTGCAGTTTCTTTGGTCTCCACTCGTCTGATCCCCTCTCTTCGTCTCATCTTGTCTCCTTTTCGTCCACAGATTGGTCAGATTGCCCTGAAGCCATTCCTTGTATTTTAACGGTTCCCTTCTCCTGTATGTCTGGAAGTAGAGTGCTTTCCCTCCTTTAAGGAGGTTTGGATTCAAAGGGGAGGAGACGAACCGCTCCATCCATCCAAAGCTCAGACCTGACCTGTACTCGAGTACGACAGGCCAAAACAACCCCCCTCCACTCCACCCCTTATAGGTTAGTGTTCTAAAAAAAAAAGTTGCTAAGCTCTTAGCTGTGTAATCGTCTGTTGTGGCTGTTCCCAGCCTTCTGCCCTCATTCCTGCTGTTCACACCGCCGTGTTTTTTGGTAGACGTTTGAACAACGGTGCTCCGCACAAAGCTCCACAATGGCTGTGGGCAAATCACTCTCAGCCTAGAAGGTCTTCCAGTTCATTGGCGGAAAAGATTAAACACAGACTGATTGTTTCTTTGATCTTCTTGAATGAAGAATAAAAACATGCATTATGAATGAATATTCTCTGTCTAAGCCTTAAGGGCAGGATTAACATCTCAAACACTATAACGAGTACAGTAAAATGAGCATTTAAATGAGCTCTAGATGTTTTTAATTGAACACATTCATCTTTAATGTAAAATGGTAGGAGGAGATTATGAGAAAATAATGACTTTCCTTTTCATTTAATTTTAACTTATTTTATTTTTATGTGCTTTTGCCTTTTGTTATAAGGTTATTTTAATATTCATACATACTGTAGCTTCTTCTTCACATTCTAATATTTGTAATATTTTATTTCAGCTTTATTTCAGTTACTGAACATGATGAATATTTTTAATTTGAGTTAACACTAACCACATTGCTTGAGACTAACAGAATCTTAACCAGGACTGGATGTGTCTTATCCAGTGATGACGCAATTAGTTTTAGTTCTAACCAGTCGCAACATTTACCAATAATGTTTTCAATTTTTATCACATCATGCTGGGTAGCTCCGCCCACAACAAAATCTCATTGGCTTAAAGCTCTGATTTACATACCTTACTACAAAATCAAAGTCAAAATCAAGTTTTGAATGTTGTTTATATGTCTATGACTCTACAGTGGTGTGAATAAGTTATTACCCCCATGCTAAAGTTGCCTAAAAAGAGGAATAAAAAATCATCTTTTGGAAATTGATCTTAATGCCTTAATTAGAAAAATGAGGAAAAATCCAACCTTTAAGGACACCAATTTTCTTTGTGTATGAATAATGTATCATAAATAAATAAATGTTCTTCCTTAAAATACAGGGTGCATAAGTCAGGCCCCCCCTATGTTAAATTCCCATAGAGTCAGGCAGATTTTTATTTTTAAAGGCCAGTTATTTCATGGATCCAGGATAATATGCATCCTGATAAAGTTCCCTTGGCCTTTGGAATTAAAATATCCCACATCATCACATTCCCTTCACCATACCTAGAGATTGTCTAGGTATGATTGTCAGGGGGGCCTGACTTATGCACCCTGTATTTTAAGGAAGAACATTTATTTATTTATGATACATTATTCATACACAAAGAAAATTGGTGCCCTTAAAGGTTGGATTTTTCCTCATTTTTCTAATTAAGGCATTACGATCAATTTCCAAAAGATGATTTTTTATTCCTCTTTTTAGGCAACTTTAGCATGGGGGTAATAACTTATTCACACCACTGTATGTGGTGTTATTAATATGCTTTAAGACAAACCATGTGTGAATTCTTAAGTCAACACCATTGCTGAGTATTTTCTCCTTTAAACTGCAGTGAACCAAAGACAGTCTCAAAAACACGGTTTGAAATCGCTGGTGTTTCTGACGTCACAAACGACCTCTGAGCTGGTGCGAGTGAGTGGAGGCGGGGCTAATTTGCATATTCATAGAACCGCGTATACTAAATGAGGCAAGGGTGTAGAGTTACATTCAAGCTATTTTAAGGCATGACGATTTTATTTTCAAGGAAAAAACTTTTAAATATGTCATTTTGGTGATCAAAGATTAGTTTTAAAGGGATAAAATTATTGACTACAGGGGGACTTTAACCTTTATTATGAAATGACACTTGACACTGGATGTTCTGATAAGGTGATAGTTTGGCATTTTTGTAATGTATAGCCTACAGCTTGCATTATGGGTCTAATATGTCACAAGTAGGTTGGCAAAGTTCCTTGTTTAGTCAAAGTAAACTTTTAACTAATATGTGATCTCTCTTGAATCCCACTAGAAGTGTCATCCTCAGAGAGTCGATACTCCATTAACTACAAATACACTTAAATGTCACTTCTGAAAGCCGATAAAGTCTTTGACAGAAGGGTAATCACACTGCAAAAGCCAAATAACATTTAACAAGTCCAAATCTAATTACATCTGATAATGATTATAAACAACGACTGCGATCTAATGAATTATCAACTTGTTGCAGCTGCACACACATGCTCAAATCAAATCTGAGACGGAGATGCCAAAGGTCAAGGAGAAGAGACTAGAACACACGCACTGCAACTGGGTGGTCCTGAAACCCCACAGAACCCCTACAGTGGGATATTGTACACTGTGTGACTCAGTGACCTTTGACCTATCAGGTAAATCAACTGACTTTGGGAGGGAATGTCACTTTCACAACTACAAATGTAAACACTAAATGCATTCCTAAGGAATCTTAATTATTTTGGCTATGAGATTTGAATGGCTCTGTGCACAGAAATACCACCAAAATCGTAACAGTCTCCATTTGTCAAAGTCCAGTGAACCAATTGAGTTCACATAGAAATATAGGTTTAAACAAACTGGGAGATTAAAGAGATTACAAAACGGTCACACAAAAACAAAAGCGCTGTGCTGGCCCCAGGTATTACAAATAACTGAACTTTTGAGTAATTAAATGATTTATGAAACACTGTTTTTTTATACGAAAAATGTAGGACATCATGTTCGGACAAGTTGTAAAATCCACAACATGCCTCTCCAAGTTCAATGCTGTCAGTCTGCAGTCTGTCTGGTCAGTCTGGCTTGGTACCCTCAACACTGAGGCCGGGTCACATTTCTGCCCACACAGAGTGGGATCATTCAGACGGATGAGCCATTCTTGCAGGCTGGTGAACAAACCTTTTAAGCCGAAATTGGAAAGTGGGCCGTCTAATGAAAATAGCACACATTTAAACACACCCACACAGCAACGAACAAGATCACTCATTATCACGCTCATAGACATTGATAACCCAACAGCAATTACACCACTCGCATCGAGAGTCAATTAAACTGACAACTATCTCAAAGACCTAATGGCATTCTTTTGCATAAATGAAATCTATATTGAGTCTTTAAATATATGCAACCTGTTCCCAACCTTGACCCAGAGATACAACTTGAGTAAAAACTACAGAAAATCATAAAGCTTCTAATGATATAATTGTTTCTACTCCAAACCATTGCTAAAACGTAATCATTTAAAAAAGTTCAATAGAGTTTTAGACAATGACAGAATTAAAATAGAATAAAAGTCCAAATGAATGGATGAATGAGGACATTTTAATTTAGGTTCTTTAAGTGTCACCGGCCCACCGGTGGGCCCAAATCCATTACATTTTTAAAACAGTAATATCCTATACTAAACCTAAACTAATCTTGACAAACTATATATCATTTAAAAATCTTACAATCTCTAGTTTGGTGATTGAATTTCAAAATAAATTACAGAGGAGCCGTAATTTATCAATTTGCAACAAGAATATTTTCATACTCCTAAGGGGTGTTTAGACCTTTATTTTGAAATAGCAATGAACATGAAAAATCATGAAAGAAGGGTAGAAACCTCAGTTTGTTTTCATGCCAAGAGTTCAAAAGATAGCATCCCTTCAATTATTTTAGGAAAAAAGGTCTGACATTTTTTTTAAATATAAAGAAAAAAATGATAGATTCACCATTTGTGATGTGGCAGGAAGCTGTAACGCACATACTTGTTCTTTTTATGTGATTATTAGAGGTTGAATTAATATCAAAATCTGCCAAACTTCTCATATTACTTCTGAATAGGATGTCTACTTCATAAATTGTATGAAAATTGTGGAAATAATGGTTCATATCACTCAAAACACATATGGAAATGGAGGCGCCCTTATATGGGCAGTAATGGAGTCTGGTTGTGACCTAGTGAAAAAGTTTGGTACTGCGCCCAAACAAAATCTTGAGATATCAACCTAAAATTTAAAACACAACTTGTTCAGATTTTTGGCTTTGATTTGTTTGCAGTTTTAGAGTCGCCCAGGTTTTGAAAATACATATTTTATATAAAATATTAATAATTCATTTTTTTACATTGTACATTTTCATAAACTCAAACTTCTATAACTTTTTTTCTGTTTCAATTTCTTAATTTATTTCACTTCTACAAAAATCTGCCAAATGTCTTCTTTAAAACGAGACCAATCTTACGTTTATATTCCAAAGCATTCTTGAATTACAACCATTTAAGTTCGAAATGTGCATTTTCATGTATATTCAAAAAAGGGGGGTTAACAGGTTAAAACACTGCTACATTTATGTATTAAAGCAAAAAAAAAGTTTGTCTAAATACTTTACAATAAAAAGGAATCATATTTTTTATATTTTTTTTTTTGCATTACAATATTGAAAGTTGTCATGAAAATAGCAAAAAATGTGTAAAAAAAAAAAAAAGAACTTGCATCACAAACAATAAGTGTAGGCTATTGTGATTGTCAAAACATTTGGTAGCCTAACTAAACATAATTGTATTAAGTTTAGTGACAGCATGGTGCAATAATTGGTATAGGCTACTGGTTTTATTATTGCTTGATACAAATTTTACAATTTCAATTTAATTCTTGTGGTTTTATTCCGATCTTGATTCAATTTGGATACATATTAGGTACAGTAGATACATGGTAATTTTTCTCAAGAAAGAAAATCTCACTTAATGCTGTAAACATAGGCTACAGAGAGCCCTGTCAGCTGGTATAATTAAAGGTTCAAAATAACAACTCAAATTAAATATAGGCCTAATGCGGTTTTTATTACAACAACAACTTTATAATATTTTAATGCTATAAGTCAAAAATATAATAAATATGTAATATAGTGTACATATTTAGCAAAATACTAATTTATACTAATACTAAATATATTATAAAATACAATTTTTTTTCTAGCCAACATGCGCTATGGTCATTAAATGGCTTTCCTGAGGTAAATGTAACATTATGAGACATGTAGTCGACTCCAGCTATTTTATTGACCTCTTTCCACGGTTGAAAAACACTGATTGGTCGATATTATGTATGAGGCATATACATTTTGGTAAGTTGTAACGTTACTGTATCTTTCTACATACCTATTGATCATTCGTGTTTATTTACTATTAACTAGTAGGCTAGTAAAGAGAGATGATCGGTTCACGTGCCGTTTGAACTGAGGCAGGCGCTACAGCGATCTGTCACATTTAAAAGCGCCAAAAAGGGTAGCCTATTTATTGTTTGAATTTCGTAATAAAATTGACAGAATCTGAGAGCTGAGAATTTGTCTCATTTGTCTCTGTCGGTGTCCTCTTTGGTTCGCAATTTTTCTCTGCGTGAGAAAATGGATGTGTGGCGTGAGAGCCTGTGAAAGGGGATATTTGCGTTTGTCTCACGCTGAATGCGAGAGTGTTGGCAGCTCTGCATTACTGGTGTGAATCTTGAGACAAAACAATGGCACTGACATCTTTTAAGATATGTCAGTGCAAGTTGCTTTCAGTTAAAACAGCTCAAACATGTATTTCAGTCTGGGACTAGACTTAAGCCTTGTCTGTGAAACCAATATACACTCACCGGCCACTTTATTAGGTACCCCATGCTAGTAACGGGTTGGACCCCCTTTTGCCTTCAGAACTGCCTCAATTCTTCGTGGCATAGATTCAACAAGGTGCTGGAAGCATTCCTCAGGGAGTTTGGTCCATATTGACATGATGGCATCACACAGTTGCCGCAGATTTGTCGGCTGCACATCCATGATGCGAATCTCCCGTTCCACCACATCCCAAAGATGCTCTATTGGGTTGAGATCTGGTGACTGTGGAGGCCATTTTAGTACAGTGAACTCATTGTCATGTTCAAGAAACCAATTTGAAATGATTAGAGCTTTGTGACATGGTGGAAGTAGCCATCAGAGGATGGGTACATGGTGGCCATAAAGGGATGGACATGGTCAGAAACAATGCTCAGGTAGGCCGTGGCATTTAAACGATGCCCAATTGGCACTAAGGGGCCTAAAGTGTGCCAGGAAAACATCCCCCACACCATTACACCACCACCACCAGCCTGCACAGTGGTAACAAGGCATGATGGTTCCATGTTCTCATTCTGTTTACGCCAAATTCTGACTCTAACATCTGAATGTCTCAACAGAAATCGAGACTCATCAGACCAGGCAACATTTTTCCAGTCTTCAACTGTTCAATTTTGGTGAGCTCTTGCAAATTGTAGCCTCTTTTTCCTATTTGTAGTGGAGATGAGTGGTACCCGGTGGAGTCTTCTGCTGTTGTAGCCCATCCGCCTCAAGGTTGTGCGTGTTGTGGCTTCACAAATGCTTTGCTGCATACCTCGGTTGTAACGAGTGGTTATTTCAGCCACTGTTGCCCTTCTATCAGCTCGAACCAGTCTGGCCATTCTCCTCTGACCTCTGGCATCAACAAGGCATTTCCGCCCACAGAACTGCCGCTCACTGGATGTTTTTTCTTTTTCGGACCATTCTCTGTAAACCCTAGAGATGGTTGTGCGTGAAAATCCCAGTAGATTAGCAGTTTCTGAAATACTCAGACCAGCCCTTCTGGCACCAACAATCATGCCACGTTCAAAGTCACTCAAATCACCTTTCTTCCCCATACTGATGCTCGGTTTGAACTGCAGGAGATTGTCTTGACCATGTCTACATGCCTAAATGCACTGAGTTGCCGCCATGTGATTGGCTGCTTAGAAATTAAGTGTTAACGAGCAGTTGGACAGGTGTACCTAATAAAGTGGCCGGTGAGTGTATAGCAAAGCTGAGCTGTGTAAGTAAAGCAAAGTTAAACTGTGACCAGCCTGTTTATAACCATTAACCAACGATGATTTATTCTGACAAACTGGTTGCAGAAGCTCACCTCCTCCAAACGGAGCCCATATCACCCTGCGGATGGTCTTCACCCAATCCTCCATGTCATTCTGTGTGCTGGCCATAAGAAGGTACGTCTCATGGTTGGATGTCATTCGCTCCCTGTCGCCCCCTAAAGAGAGAACATTGAAATAATGGTCAGATGTTAGTTGATTTGAGATGTTAACATTTTTTTCCCCATTTAAATAAAAAAATAAAATACAATTTGACATGAAAAATTGTAATTTGACATTTTAAAATATAGCAAAAATCATTCATCTACACAATTTCAATTGCAAGAGCCAGGTAAATCTCATTCGTTTCCTTCACATTCAGCCCCCAAAACTTTCCTTTCAACAAACCACGACAACAACCAATTAGGTCTCCGTCATGAAATATGAGAGGCAGAAGATGCCTTTGTGTACTAAACCTCACTGACACTTGTGATCTGTCATTAACCCCTGACTCAAAGCCATTATGTACAAATGTACAGGTGTGTTGACATCTGTTAAAGGGAGCTGAGCCTGAGACTTTTGACCATGGGTTTGTCTCGGTTGATGTGAGGTGATGTCACATGTTTAGTCTGCTGGGGAATGAGGTGTCTGTCTTGTTTTAAAGAACAGCATGCATGGGCCGTTTTGAGCCGGCCCACGGAATTTAAATGACAACTTTGATAGAAAAAGTGTTAAAAATAAAGACTTTTTACTTTAGGTTAAAACTGCTACATTTCTATATTACAGGAGAGAAAAAAAACATCTTAACAATAGACATAATTTAACAAAGTATCACTTTTTTTGCCACCTGATAGAGTTTTGGTTCCTTGCCACTGTCGCCTTTTTCCACGGGTGTTGCCATTGGCTTGGCTTGCTTAGTTGAGGACATTAAATGTAACATTTAATTTAATATTAGCTATATACATAAATGTTGGATGCATGGATGCATGGATGGATGGATGGATGGATGGATGGATGGATGGATGGATGGATGGATGGATGGATGGATGGATGGATGGATGGATGGATGGATGGATGGATGGATGGATGGATGGATGGATGGATGGATGGATGGATGGATGGATGGATGGATGGATGGATGGATGGATGGATGGATGGATGGATGGATGGATGGATGGATGGATGGATGGATGGATGGATGGATGGATGGATGGATGGATGGATGGAACAATAAACGATAGTGATGACAAATAGATAGATAGATAGATAGATAGATAGATAGATAGATAGATAGATAGATAGATAGATAGATAGATAGATAGATAGATAGATAGATAGATAGATAGATAGATAGATAGATAGATAGATAGATAGATAGATTCACAGAAAGAAAAAGCAAGAGAAAATCAATCCCGGATACATCTTGTTTTGTCCCTCATCCATATGGAGAGAGATGATTACCAGTCTTTAAAAGCATGTCTGACATGTCCGATCCGAGTGCTGAGGGAGATTTTTAAGAGTTAATGGAGATATGATTTGAGTGAAAGACTAAATTATTCATTGTATACATTTGTGTAGTTCTCCGGGGAGTCGCCGCTGTCTTGATTATCGATTTTCATCTGCAACCAGATCAGTTTGGCTACCATTAAAAATGTATTTATAGACTGTCGAGAAGCAAAGCAGATGGAAATCACAGAAGGAACAATGCCAGCGGTGATTCCATCGACTCCTGCACAGCACCCCTGGAAACGGAGCGATTGATCCTTCGGAAATAGCTTTCGTGCACAACCGAGGGTGTTGTGGCCTATTTTTGTCAGATTTGTTTTTGCGTTAGTTTTATTTATTAATTCATTTGGGTAATCAAACAGGGGGCTCAATTTACAAACTCTGCCTATTTTATCTTTATCTTAAAGGGGTCATATAATGGTACATGCACTTTTACAAGTTGATTGTACTGAAATGTGTGTTGGCAGTGCCTGTACACAACCATCATATAATGATAAAAATCCATCCAGTGTTTTTGTTTTAATCTCCTTATATGTTTTCCCCTGCCTCAAATTGAGCCGTTCGTTTTTGTGACGTCAATAAAACGGACGCCCCTCCCACGATTGTTGATTGACAGGAGTCAGCACAGGAGTTTCAACACAGACCCGCCCTCGCTCGTCCTGTCAATCATAGTCCGCGCGGATCGGCGCGGTCATTGTTGATATGCTGGAGCACTGTCTATGAGCAGAATGGCGTCTAAGCGATTGTGGTGTTCTGCTCTTGGGTGTAATAACGAACACAGCAGTCATTTTAATGTTCCTAAATCCGAACCGCTGAAGACGCAGTGGCTGAGTTGTTTTCGAAGGGAATATTCCCCACGATCAACGTCAATGCTCTCATGTTTGCGTGAATCATTTCTCAGTGGACTGCTTTATAAACGAAGATCAGTGTAAAGCTGGTTTTGCTGAGAAGCTGCACCTGAATAAAGGATCGGAACCTATTCGTCTTCCTGCTGAACCTTCAGAAGATCTAAAGTGAGTGTAACGTTTTATTAATCTTTATATTAATATTTATATAATCTTTGCAAATCGCCAGCTGCACGCTTCACGATGAATGCGTCGGTTTACACTCAGGGTACATTACAGCATGTTTTCTATGTACAACGTTCTCAATATAATTCATAATCCCACGTTTATAATGAACAACGCGTGGTTATTGTGTTACAAACGGTGTGTGCGCAGAACAGAGAGTCGGGGTGAGCAAAGCTCATTATCATTTAAAGTCGTATACACTGAAACGGCGTGCTGAAAACAGAGCTGTTTTTGACCAAGTAAAATAAGTGTTTTCTTACAATACTAATGAGAATTTTTAATTAAAGTATATTACAAACTTTTAATTTAGACCCTAAAGAATCATATTATCTTGTACAAAAATGGCATTATATGACCCCTTTAAAGATTTACCTAAGTGACATGGCAATGGAGTATTAAACCAAAACACATTTAAGCAAACTCATCAGGTTTTCAGAAGAAACAAGCATGGTAAGGCCATATTCTGTTTTATTTTTCAAGTATAAAGTATTTTATAGTTTAGTCAAATTGTATTGCACCAAAATTGCCACATATTACTTTTTCATGGCAATTTTGCAACATTTTGGACCTTTTGTCACTACCTTTAAAAACGTACTCGACATGTAAATGACTTTCATTATGACATATAGTAGTTTTACCTACCATGTAACCTATTAAGATACATTTTTACTAAAAAGCTATTCAAAGAAAAATCTTAAAAGTCAGCCCAATCCATCTCATTTACATTTCGTAAACTTGCTCTAGTGTTTCGGCATCCACACCTGTTTTACAAATGGAAATGAAGGAGACAAAAGCTGGAATGCCTAGCTGCAGCCCACCGCCTGAGGCAGCATTTGAAGGAGAGTAAGATAACGGCAACCTAAGCCAAGACTAAAGTGTCATGGCATATGCACCGACCCGCTCACATAGGAATGCATGCGTGCAACAAAGGGCAGACTCGACAGGGGTCCGGCTAGAACACAGTTTACACACCATCTGCTGCGGTCTCATCTTCCTACCACTTGAGCACATATAACACATGCACACTCACACAAGAGCCCTGAACAGACCGTCTGAGGACCAAGAGGAGGCTAAATGAATCGCAAATGAGTCTATCTAGCAGTAAACAAGGCCTCTTCCCCAATTAACACGACACCTGTTTCATCCAAGAGAGAAAGAATGTATAGAAGTGCTAGCCAGCTCATTCCTTTATCAGTGAGGCCAAAGATCTAGAAATGAAAGGACAGACACTGGTGAGCAGTCACTGCTACATGGATCTGAAATTGCATTTCACACTTCACATTTGGTTCATTAAAACCATTGGACATTTAAAAATAGGTCAATTTCTCCAATTCAATGGTTAGAGAATAGAGAGGGCATGATTATAAACTAAAGACCTGAATTTTAGCTCCAATTGGTATTACAGGTTAAAAGACACACAACCATTAAACATTTTTGGGCAAGATTTTTTTTTTATGTTTTTGAAGGAAGTCCGTTATGCTCATCGATGCCTTTGAAATAGGCTAATTTAAAATAACTGTTTTCTATTTTAATATATTTTGCATCACACTTATTCCTGTGACGCAAAACTGAATTTTCAGCATCATTACTCCAGTGTACAGCGTCACATGATCCATCAGAAATTATTCTGATATGCTCATTTGGTAAACAAGAAACATTTCTTACAATTATCAATGTTTTCCAGGATTCTTTAATGTACATAAAGTTCAAAATAACAGAATGCATTTGAAATAGAAGACATTATACATTTAATGCATTCTTGCTCAATAATAGTATTAATTCATTTAAAACAAAAAAAATCTTACTGACCCCAAACTTTTGTACAGTATAGTGTAGTTCATAATCATATGGCTTATGAAGACTCGTATTACACCATAAAGCTATAGTCTGAACTATTTTTATAGTGCTTTTGTTGATATTTTTGGAAATCAACAGCTTCCATCCCCATTCACTTTCACTGCATGGATTAAAATGGATTAAATTGGTAAACAATGAAAAAAAAATGGTACAGGTATAATCAGCAGTACAACAACAACAACAACAAAGCATTTGGATTGGTTCAAAGGCCTGGAAGCCATTCAAAAAGTTAGACTCTCTAATCTAGAACAGCGTCTTAAATGGAACCAATGTACCAAACAATGGCATGAAAACAAATACCACCAGCCTAACTATATGTAACAAACATCAGCACTGCTTCAACTACCCCATGATTCTTTCTTCAACCATTTTACCCAGCTCTAACCAGCACTTTAGTTCACTCCAGAGACCCATGACCCCTCTCTTACTACAGATACTCTAATAGATTACCTTCCTCTCCAAATGAACTCAACGATCTATGACCCATACGCTCTCTCCCCTCCATCACCTGGCTGTACATTAACCTTAATGTGCCTCTTTAAACTAGACTTTTCCCATGAGTATAGATCCATAGAGGCGACCCATAAAAGCTGTTCTAGGATCAGCAGCAGCACCCCTTTGTAAACAGTAGCTTTAAAGATCTGAGATCGCCGTCCATCTTTCGGCTCCTCTCTACTTCGCAGTGGGTGAGTGACAAGTTCTCAAGGGTTCATAATGAACCAGCTTTTTACAAGCCCACTGCCATT